CTTATAAGATGTACTTTGTGATTCTATTAGAGGAATATGTCAACATTTTACAGACAGATGAATCAGACGATACGAAGAAGAGAAAATGTGCTCGCTAAATCACTATTTGTATATAAAAAAAGTGTTTCAGGTGTTTCTACATCCAGAACTGAAAGACATCCATACTTCCATTTATTACATTTTAACAACCATCTTTAATATGCAGATTTCTGGTCTATTCCCTGTGTTAAAAGTGACAATGTTGAATTCGTCATATATTAGGAATAAGGAAGTGAAAACAAGGTGAAAGGATATGTTGTGTCAAATATTATATTCTCGTGGCAGTCTGAAGGTGCATGTGAAAGGTTACCTTGTTGTGTGCTGCCTGTTTGTGGATATGTATACTGTTCCGAGAGGTGATAATTATCAATTCTGTCCTTGTATGAACTGATTCTTCATTAGGTATTTTGATTAATAAATCTGCAGTGATTGTATACATGCCTAGTTCTTCAATAAATCAATCTATTATAAATAGAACACAGATTGATGTTCAGGACGATTTAGCTGTCATCCGTGACAAGTTATTATTTCTAAATTGAATGACAGACGACCGAGACTGGTGCAAACGAACCTGTATTATGTTGTCATGTGAGCTTAACATAGACGTTGTTGTTTTCACTATTACTTCGATATAAGCCGTGATTGGATATTAAAATGTCAGAATACGTGTTAACTAATTAGATGTAATTAACAATCATTAATCATAATTGATATTACAGATTACCTATAAATAACACAGATTTATAGCTAGACGTTATTAAGGATTTAATTGAAATCGTTTTTACATTGCAGTATACTCCATCAGCAACAAAGGTGATTTATGGAAAAATTCATATTATTTTTTGTCACTGCTTCATAACGTAAAAAGGCGAGAGAAACAATACCTTAAGCGTAAGGTTTTCATTTTCTTTAATGATGAATTGCTTTATAAAACAATACGCAGCTACTAGCCAATCAGAATAACTGTAACAAACATTCACGTCACGTCTATAAACAATGTTTATTCATTTATGCCCAATGTTATGTTATAGATATTGTAAATTATGGCTGTGATCATGATATGTTGAGGATATATGATACTATATAGAAGGTATTTAATGGTTTCCCGTTGAATATCATAAATATTTGACAAGTATGATAGAATATGAATGTTTTTTACTAGTGCAATTCATTCTAAACATGTAAAGTTCGCTAAACATTAACGCATTCTTTGACGTTAAAAAGATGGCGTCAAATTCCTCAGACATCTCTACACGATATTCTACCGTTTTATGTTATTTTCTAGTAAGAATCTATTTTAATTACAAAATTAGAGAAATTAAGAAATGTACACAAGAATTATTTTATAAGAGATACATTCTTAAGAAATTGGTAAATTCCTATTTCACTGGCAAATATGTAATGAATTATTAGCCGTGATTAAGAATTTGGTAGATTGTATATGTATTTGATGTTAATGCTTTTGATAAAAGTGTTCATGATATCTCCCTTGCTTGAGCAGATTTCCTGATTCGCCCCAACAAAGTCAGTTTGAGGAAAACATCCAATATCTTGTGGAATGTGCGAACTTCATATTACATTATTATCTATTTGTGTTATGGGGAAAACGATTAACTTTAAGATAAGTTGAAGATGAATGCAGGTATCGGCAGACGAGGAAGCCAAAAAGCTACCCTACATTAAAACAACAGATATGTTGAGCATTTATCAACAATAAACATGTTTTATTGTCTTCATATTTTTGACAAACGTTCCATGTGTTGCAACAGCTTGTCTCTCATCTGGTTGTCTTCAATAAACATCTAATGTAAAATTGTGATTTTGACGCCATAAATTATAAATATTTACATTAAAGTTCTATCTTCGTAATTACTTTGAAAACTGGAAGTAATCAGAAAGAAGGACGATTCATGTTATAAGAGTGTATTTTCGGCAACTACAATAACGGAGTTATGGATTTACATGCCTGTGTCTTAGGCATGGAGACATGTCCTAACTGACACCTATGTACCGTAAAAATGTCAAAGGCCGTATAGGATTGAAGAAAACTCTGGTCTTCATTGACACTTTCACCGCTCAGCTGACCACCGAACCCTGTGTAACAAACACGACGGCAAAGAAGTCTGTTTCTGTGGTATTTCCCCAAAACAATACACACAATTACTTACGACCTCACACACAGGATAATGCATGATGCTATAGAAACTCTCGTCTGTAATCAACGCCAATATGTGACAGGTAGGTTCTATTTATTAGCAATAATCTGTTGGTATCAGGGGTTTCTTCAAGGCATGGGAGAAACCTTTTCAATGTAATGAAAAAATTCTTGAACATTTCGTGGTTTGTAGTACTATTTCTTTTTTGTAAAATATGCAAAATACACACGAACATTTACACCTGGACATCTGTGGTGTCCATAGAAAAGGACAGGGGCAAAGTATGCTCTATTTTATGAAAAAAAAACTTCAAAGAAAAGCGAGAGGGAATCCTAAAGGCAAGAAATTCACGAATGGATTAACAAAATCTCTGTCTGCGACAACGATTCTCGAGATCGTTTCGGTTTAAATGGTCATAAGATTAATAAATTATTGCCGAATAGGATGAGATATTTGTGTAAATTATAAAAAATCAACAAAGAAAATTGCATTCCCAACAGAAATTTTATTGAACAGCATATAAACTTGTGTATTTACCTAACACTCTACATAAAACCTATGATCCAGTGTTCCTTCAGTTCCGAATTTCCCGATGCTCTGTATCTAGATGGTTAAATTTAGATATTTTGATGCTAACAATAGAATTAATAGACATTAGTATGAGTTCTTTAAAGGTACAGAACAGCCAGAAATTGCGCGAAATATCCCGTTAAGCATGAATTGATTTGGATTATGGCATAAAACATGAAGCTGGTGCATTATTTTAACGCAAGGTATTTAGAACATCACAGGCATGCTTGGGGATGTGGGATATGTTGTGACCATTAAATACTTGTTAAGTGATACAGGTTTTGTTGAGAACACTAGATACACATTAGATTGTTATACACTAGACTGGAGATCGACCAATATTTCAGATATAAGGTAACATATTCACCTAAAGCTTTCCGAAATATGAATGTAACCCATTAATATCGTGTTTTGATATTATGATATTTATATCCTTACATATCTTTATACGTAAGATATTCATTAATTCATGGTAAAAGTACAATCATCTAAATCCGAACAGGTGTTTCTTTCATTATTAGTCTCACAATGTCAGCGCTACGCTGTTACCATGGCATTGTTATCAACGAGAAATTAATTTTATATACACAATTGGTGTCCTTATCAGCGTCAATTCTATGAAGATATGTATGTTTGCTTATGCTTTTCTTTATTTAAAATGTGATAAGTAAACATAATATGGAAATATGCGGTTATATATGTTGTTGAAGTAAACATTCGACAAAAGAAGATTAAGATAGCGTTGTGATATGAGGAAACGGAAATGAAATATTTAATTAAAATGGATGTATTATTTAAATTTCTCAACAGTTAAACTACAATGGTTACTATATATAACCTTGTTTGTATGCTGATTGGAGTGCCTGACCTGTCTTGATTCCGTTAAAATCATTAACGTTACGTCCCCTGTGTAACGAATCTTCACTGACGATGCTCCATCTGTGACAACTGCCTGGTCGTAAACAGTGCATTTGACATGCATGTATCAAACAGGTCAGCAGTTGTATTAAAATATGCCATATTGATGAGGAAACACACATTGTTTTATACTGAAAACTTTGTATTAAATATCTAGTAATGATTTAGTGTAGTGAGTGTGAATGGTGTGCGACTGACGTTCAGTGGCTTTACAGATATAGACACCGGGTTTGATTCTCAAGGTAAGAATGTACTTTATGCAATGTTATTAAGAGAATTGATCATCATCTTGTTAATGTTTTTCGTATGGTAGATGAATATTCTGTTTCATAAAATGCAGATTGTTTCGCTATCATACAGTTAATAAGATCAGATACACATGTACACGATTTTCATCAACGTTATTGACATAGGTATTGTGTAAAATCACATATTTCGTGGGGCTTTGTTGGTTAAAAACCACGAAAACAAAGCCCCACAAAATAGAAATCTATACATGCACTTGTATCAGTTTGTGGACTGAACATATGGATTCCTGGACAAAGAGTACAAATGGAATCAACGAAAAATAATTCCCGCAAAAACCAAGAATTTTACAGTAATTAGCTTAAATTATACTGAATTAAGAGCGCTTTTCTTCTCTTATTTATTGGAACATGGGAGTTTAGTTTAACGGTGCACCTATTGGCCGTCCAGGCAATCTTAGTGTCATTGTTAATTGACTAACCAGTCAGGACTTTTGAGTTATAAGAAACAAGAGACGGTATTAATATTACTAAATATGTTAGAAAAAGGTATAATACATGGTAAAAAGTGTTAATGGAAGTATAATACACCGGGGAATTGTATGTACCTGAGAATGATATCGCAACGTATTGTAAAATTGCGATGTATATTGACACAAAACTACTGATATCAAGGGTTGTAATTAGAAATATTCCGGATAGCAGTATATTATATTTTTTCACTTTGTGTTTCCGTCTAAACGAGTGAGAAAAACGGCGGATACGTAACCCACTGTGATATACTGTTATAAATAAACTGATTGTGATTAAGAATTATTTGTTATTGTTAAAGTACCTCTATATGCACTATACTGTGACCTACCAGACGATTATATCTAGCCGACCATGTATACACTCATATTCAGTTACATGTGTCTTACAAAGCCCAGAACTAAGTCCATTCACTCCAGTGTATTGGTCTGGTGCCTATGTAACTCTACAGAGATACGAACAAATCCTGATTTATAACAAACGGAACAGCCATAGCACACCGCTCGCGATCTTTCGGGTACCGGCTTAAGTTTGGAAAAGCAGCTGTGGAAGAAAGAAGGCGAGTAAATCTAAGGTAAGGCCATACAGATAACACGATCTTGAGAGACAACAAGCTAGTATTAGCTTGTATATTATGTCCATGAACTAAACATGCCGACAAACCGAAGTTAATACTCAAAGGTCGTGTAAATATTGCACATCTTCAGTGCATATTATGGTATTTCTTCTGCTCGGTATGTGTAAGCGTGAGCTATTTTTAACTCCTTGTGTATAAATCCGATGCATGTCAGAGTTGCTTGTGGAATGTTTTGGTTTGGATTGTGATATTAGCTGATCTTTCGTTCCAGGCGCATTTAAGAATGAGTGACAGCGATAATGACGAAAGTGAACTCTACAGCTCAGAGAACTTTGATCAATTAATGAAAGAATTATTAAAAAAAGCCGCACCTGTACCGAATGACTACGACCAGGATCGTTACTGCCGTTACACAAACAGCCTTCTGTCGTTGTATGGTGACGAGAGATGCATGTTAGTTGGTAGTACTGCTGAACGGACTAGGCTTCGGTTAAACCAGGATCAAGGTGACATTGACTATCTGATAATTTCCGAAATACAAATCAGATCAAATTTTCTTCATTACAATGAAAAAGACCCATGTATTGTGCGAATCGACGGCAGGGAATTACATGATGAACTTCCGGTTGAGCTAATTGATGGAATGTATCTCCCTAGCAACCTTCTCAAAACAGTCAGAAGCGAAGCTTTTACAGGTCTACGTGGCTTATTCTCCTTGGTGTTGTTGATTAGTACATTCCAAGGTCAGCACATCCCTCATATAAACATAAATATACCAAACAAGCCAGGTGTTACCCTTACCAACTACACCGACTGGCTCTGTGACGAAATCCAGAATGCATCAAGATCAACTACAACCGATGCTGACAAAGCTTACGGCCTATTTCGCCAAAGGATAAGAAATTCGCCATTTTTGATGCACATGACTGCCAATGTTATTCTAGTTTTGAGAAAGCTGGCACTTTTGGCGAAAACTCTGAGTGACAATCATGGGATTCATTCACAAGTCTTTCAATATTTGAGTCCTTTGGTAAATGCAGTAACAGACGAAATCAACAGTTCGTCAAGAACCTCGCTCGGAGTTACCCAACAAAACTCGACGGCCGCTGAGGAAGAACTGGGGTCACCAAGACCTACAAACAGCGAAGACGTCGTTTATGCAAGTTACCGATGGAAATCTCAGAAGAGGTTTATAGCAGCATTTCCTGTTGACGGTCCACCAAAACATATAGATACGTGGAAAGCACGCGTATGTGGCAAGGTTTGGCCAGGAAGTGACGTTGTGAACAGTATTTGTAACAGTGATTTTTATGTTGTGTGTAAACCGGTGTCACAAGAAGCGTCAGAAGAGAGTACTGACTTTTATTTGTCCTACATCTCGGCAGAGATTCAGCTATCTGCATGTATGCATCCTGTCCAAAAGAACTGTCTTCTTATAATCAAAGCGTATCAAAACTGCATGTTAGAGGAATATTCTGATAAACTTGCTACGTTCCACTGGAAAACGGCGTTGTACTGGGTATCAGAAAATGTGGACTACTCACAGCTTACGAACGACATGGAAGAAAATGTGATAGGCTTAGTGAAGGCAGTAATAGATTACATGCTTACATGTCTTCATAAATGTAATCTACAGCATTACTTCAACCATAGCAACATCATCGGACATTTGGACGCCATAACTACAGGCATGATTGTTGATAAACTCACAGAAATTCTTGACGATCCCGTTGAAGCGATTCGGGAGTTTTTCAGATATGAGGATGTAAACAGTAGTGTTAAGACTATAGAAGTGTCTCGATCCTACGTAGAAAAACTACAGAAATCGCTACACATGGACGCAGACAAATTTGTCGTTGATATGATTGTTTCTGCTCTAGAACAGTTTGTAAGAGAACCACCTCAGTCGTTTGACGATGAACCATTGCTAAAAAAAGCGGTGGTGAAGGTGGCCGCAGCGATTTGTACCGATTTAACGAAGGATTTGGTGAGAAAGGGGAGAGCATTAATGGTACCAGTCGACAGAATCATGAAGACATTTGACGCTTATCTTACAGCGCCTGAATCGAAAACACACGACACAATGTTTGCGTTATTTACCGTATTCGAACTATCTGGTTTACTGAAAGAAATTAAATAACATTTTGCATTGTGCACTTCTCTTTTAAATTAAAAATGTGGAATATTTGTTTATCGTTCTCTCATACTTCAGCATTTTAAAAATGTTGTTATAAAGTATTGTCAGCTTGACAACATGCTGATAATGGCTCCTTATTGATTAAGAATGATTGATTAATGAACATATAAAATGCTTCATTGTATAGCACTTCTATGTGTAGATTTTGTTATAAATGGTATGTATTTGACTGTAGCATCGTCACCTGTCCTGTTATACAGCCTAACCAAAACATTACAGACGTTTGACGGTAGTAACGGCTTCCACTTATCACATATATAACACAACGAATGTTTATGTATAATTTTATATCAAACAACTAACTTATATTATTAACTCTGTTTATGTCCATCGCTGATATTTATGAAGTAGACCGAATTGGTATGCTGGCTCTATAAAATTGCCTATAAAAGTCAATATCTTGTTGGACTTTGATCTGCTGTGATGGGAGTTTATAGACCCAAGTATCAAATACAGAATCAATCTATCACTTCAATAAACGGATCATATGATGAAAACTTTATTTTTGGAAAACACTTGGGTAGTGTGGTCTATGCTATGCTCTCCCGGGTGTAGAAATAGATGTTGATTCCACCTCGCGATTCTGGGGTCAAAAGCTGTAGCCTCGTGTATACAGTTTCTTGTGTAAGATGTAGAATCAGGAGAGATTTTTACACGAGTCTACAGTTGATGGGTTAGAACGTGTAGTATCGAGTGTAGATCTGGATTACGTAATAGTGTTTAACAAAAAATCTACAGTTGATGGATAAGAACTTGTATTGTCGAGTGTAGGTCTGGATTATGTCAGAGTGTTTAACAAGAGTCTACATTTGATGGGTAAGAACTTGTATTGTGGAGTGTAGGTCTGGATTATGTCAGAGTGTGTAACAAGAGTCTACATTTGATGGGTAAGAACTTGTATTGTCGAGTGTAGGTCTGGATTATGTCAGAGTGTGTAACAAGAGTCTACATTTGATGGCTAAGAACCTGTATTGTCGAGTGTAGGTCTGGATTATGTAGAATCTTTGGTTGGTTATGACAGTTTAGGATTTAGAGACCTGATACTGAGTTTAATGTTACCGTTTGTGACCCCTATTATCTTTGACTTTTGGTCTAATGTTTATGAATAGGAAGCTTTACGCTGGAAAGAAAATTTAGGGAATAGAAACTTGAGAAGCTCCAATTCTTAATCCGGTGTTTCTGAGAATAGAATTTCTAAAACCATTAACAATAAAATTTAGGTTTTTATCATGTCAATATTCCAACCAATCCCTGTAAAATACTTCATATTCAATGCAAGTTAATAAACGATAAATCGTAGATGTTGTTGTAAGCATTTTAGTCTTGACTACATTTTGAACTTGTTTTGCAACAATTATTTGAAAATCCCAAAGACGATTCATATTCCTAACTGCTCATTTAATTTCAAGGATCACTTTCACTTTGTGAACTTTTAAACGAAAGTACATGGCTATGACTATGACCATTGGCGGAAGTTTTCCAAGTCTAGTTTCTGTTTAACCGTGTAATAAATTCTGAGAGCAGTCAGTGTCTGTGTATATTATGTACACGTAAGCTAAGTTCTGGTCGGGTAAACATGTAAATCGAGGTATCGTAAGGTCCCTGTTGTTCATACGAGACATTTATGATAGTTTTTTTTAGACTATTTAGTATGATATATCGCACTTCAGTACAGACGTGATAAACATATGCCAAAACATATTTAAATATTAGGAAAATTTCAATCGATATCAGCATTGGGAAGTTCCAACCTCCTGTTGAAGGCCCAAACTACATCACTGCTGTTTATAAATCAAATGGAAATCCCTCGGTATTAGTTATAAGTTTCGGACAGGTCCAAAAGGTACCACATTCCTACGGTGTCGCAGAAGATAAAGGAAGACAGTAGCGGTAAGCAAAATGGAAAAATTCCTTTCAAATTCTATAGATTGTATTACACTGATTTTGCATAGGACGGTAAACATTCGAATACGGTTTATATTTCATGTTTGTATAATTCTGCTTCATCAGAAGTGAATCTAGCAGCTCCATTGTTAAAAGTGTACAATGCATCTTTAGTTATAAAACCACGTGCTTTGCTTTGATAGTGTAAATGTACTGTTATTGAAAATAAATTTACACCATTGTGTGATTAAAAGGCTGGCATTACATGTGCATGATGTTTTAAAATGTCATTTCATTAGCCTAGAATATCAAACCGAAAGTAGGACATTAAGATATTTGGCTGATCTAGCCTAGAGTACCAAACCGAAAGTAGACCATCAAAACTGACCTCTTTCTGAAAACAGTGAGTTTCAATGATGTACTAACTACCAAAATATGAAAGTATTGCATTCACAACTACTTTATATTTCGATAATAAAAGTATGTTCATCAGATAAATAAAGAATCAGATACGTCGCTGGATTAAACAAATAATGATTTATTCTAATAAGAGGTAATCCGTTTTGTATTGTAGGTAACCATGGCAGAAGGTGGATCTCAAGACGTCGGGACCATGTCGTTCACAGAATTGTTAAACAAATTAATGGCCATGACACATCCAGTACCGAATGACAAACGACAAGATCAGTACTGTTCTTACATCAGCAGTTTTGTTTCTGAGTTCGGCATAGAACACTGTCAAGTAGTCGGGAGTACAAAGGAAGGAACACGTCTACGCTCGGAACAGGACGAAGGAGATTACGATTATATCTTGTCTGGTAATTTCATAGTCCCTACTGATTGTTTGGTGTACAGAGAAGACCTACCCTGCTTTGTTCACATCAAAGGGTCCTTCATGGGACAAGAGTTTTGTGATCAGCTGATAGATGGCGTATACCTACCAACATGGTTGTTGAAGAATGTCAGCATATTGGCATTTCCACACTTGAAAGGGATTTTCGATATCGTCAGCAGATCTACCACGTCCCATGGTCGAAACACTCCACACTTAGCTATCAACACCAGCATGAAACCTGGTTACAGTTTGGTAAATTACGCAGACTGGGATTGCAAAGATCTGAGTGTGAAGAGAAATGCCAGATCTGCAAGTGAACGGGCTTTATACCAACAGTTTGAGGAGCGTAGGAAAAGTTCAAAGGTTCTACAAGAAGATGGGAACAATATATTAGCGTCTTTTGCTGCTGTTATTGACTTCATAGAAAACATGAAAAACAATGATACATCAACAGGGTTAGTTTACCAGCAGTTCGGTCCCATTTTGAGCGCTTTAGCAGGTAAAACGAGTGGCACGTCGAAGAAAAGGCCAACTGACGAGCATTCCAATGATGACAAGGAACAAATTGTAGACTCTACTTGCCATCTTCAGGAAAACGAGATAGCAACGAGTAGCAGAGGCAAGAAAGCCAGGATGCACACTTCCGACAAAGATTGTATGACCCAAGAAGACATTCAGAAATGCTGTGATGCGAAAACAGACAATATGGATGTTTCTACACCAGCTGAAGAAACGTTCGGTAAGAATGGAATATCGACACCGGAAGAAAACACTGTAAGCGGAATCACAGAAAAAGAAAGTGTGGACAGCAAGTCTGAGGAGAAAAAAGACACAGAAGTATACGCAACATATCGTAGCAAGTCTAAGAAAGACTTTATCTTAGCACTTCGATTATCTGAACCACCTAAATTTATACAAGAATGGATGCAGCGGGTCCTCGGAGGGCATTGGCCAAATCCTGAAATTGTAGAGGATATTTCCAAAAGTCAGTTTTTCGTTGTTGCCAAACCTGCAGTGAAAGATGAAAAACCAGATATAGATTTCTGTCTATCCTGCAACCTGGCTGAAATCATCCTGGCGAGAGAAATGCCTCCTGGCCATAAGAAATGCTTGCTGATGATCAAAGCATTCCAGAGAAGCGTTCTAGAGGAATATTCTGAGGTCGTGACGACTTTTCACTGGAAAACAGCTATATATCGAATGCTTGAATCCACCGACCCAGCTACCTACTCAGAGAACAGCGGAGACGTACTGGATGTGCTAAGAAAGCTCCTAGACTACATGCGAGACAGGCTGCATGAAGGATGCCTGATACATTACTTCTTTCCCAGCAACTTATTTGCAGGTTTGGAGAGAGACATTCGTGTTGCTATCGTCGAGAAAATAGAAAAGATCCATTTGGATCCAATTTTCTATTTGAGATCCTTCTTTTGTCTTGAAAAAGAACGAGCCCATGCTCGACGAGTTGTAAAAATTCCAGTGAGCACGTTAGATGAAGTGAAGAATCAAGTAGAACACAGAAGGGATGAGCGGTCGGTAGATGCATTTGTGAATGTCCTTGAAGGATTTGCCAAACCAGCATCGACAGATTCGATTGAAAAACCAAAAGTACCGATTCCTAACCTGATCCTGCAAATTGCGGAAACTGCCCTAACAGATGAAGAAAACAGGAGAAAAGATAAAGAGGAAAATGGACCAACAACTCCACCGACCGTATCAAAGGACCACCTAATGGAAAGTGTCAAAGGTCTTTTCTCTACATTAGGAGCTGACAGAAGCACTAGGAGACAGGCGGAGAAGGAAGCCAAGAAAGCGGCCTTAGCCTATTTCTCGGCAGGAAAGAAGTAATAGTTGACTTGTGCACTATTTAACATTTACGTTTTAAATTTTGCACTTTCTTTGTTTTTATGTTTGAGTTTTCTTCGTGTATATGTTTGTGTTAACTTTGACCAAACTTTATTCTTCGTTACCAAGAAAAGATATAAATTATTTACTTTGAGATAAGAACCAGAATGCATACATCCTCGGCACAAACTTCCATGTTGACAACAATGTTAACGTCACAGTGTTTTTATTAGTGTGTATGTACCTCAGTACACGATGTAATTGATTAATAACTTATTATTATCCCTTTACGAGGATATAGCGTTCCGTTTGTACGCAGGTGTGTACGTATGTATATTTTTGTCATCACTCTAGCCACTTCATTTCTCAACCGATTTTAATCAAACTTCACATTTTGGTAAAGTATTATGATACCTTGAACGACTTGAACCTGTTTCAGTATGCCAGTGTCAACCTTAAGGTCACCGTTACTTAGACGCAACACAACGTCATTATAAATGGAAACTGGAGGATTTCTAATGTTTCCGATGCCTTGTTAACATTACCCCCGTTATCAGTGAAATATCACTCATCTAAATTGTGTTATGACTACACGTATCTGTTATTGACTGAAGGCTTCAATTGTGACGTTATAACTTGATAATGTCATAAATAGTGTGACGTCATCAAACAACTTGGTATTTAGAGAGAATATTGAAAATGAATTTTATGTCAGTCTATTTCCACTAATATTTATACAACACTAAGATAGTTTTATGTGATAAACAAATTCTTACATTCGTTTCCTTCTCATGTGGAACTTATGAAAGTCGTCACGATTTTTTTCTGTTTACTTCGCCAGAGATTAGGTTTAATGAAAAATATTAGACTAGTCTCATCATCCGATATAGAAAAATCTATGTATATCAGTATTAAAACATCCCCGTAGACGCATATTCACGATACTAATAAATGTAGAAAATTAATGCAGCCATATAAATCCACATGCTTACACATTTTGAACATGATTCTATTACTTTGGGACGTCTATTTTTTCGATTGTTATAGCCGGTCCTTTAAAGATGAAGGTGTATTCCAAAGATTTCAAATCCATTTTCTATATAAATAATTATTCGCATTGCTTTCTTCCGACTGGTATGACTATATTTATCAGATGCTCTATGTATTTATCCGGTGTAAAAAAGAGGTCCAGGTTTATTAATAGCCATTTTTGTACATATGTGTATCGTGATATTTATCCAGAAATAAATAGAAATCTGTCTTGTGTTATACTTTCTTAAAAATTATGTCGCCTTTTAAATCATTACTGACGCAATCATTAGTCATTGCTCCATCCATAAGTGTCCACACGTGTGGTAAGGAAAAGACAACTCCGTCTTACTTAGACATTCACACTTCTGTTGTCTGCAATATTACAAATACGGAATCCTAGGTCTAAATTAAATCAGTGTTTGAAAGGTGAAATAAATATTATTCGATCTTTATGTAAAAGTACCAGCATATCTCGTACTGCAGATGTTTGAATATGTCAGTCACAATGACATGTCTTTCATTTTGTGTATTAAAAGGGTATGTGGGACCAGGGACGGAAAAACGGATACGTCCAAACTTTGCTGATAGAACAGAGAATATTCTTAGTAATTCATCTGTCAGGCCCAGAACGTAAGGGAAGCAAATGGAAAACACTTTCAAACACAAAAATATCAAATATTTACTGTTGAAGCCGGATATTAAATAGTACTGCATTTTACAGGCGCTTCGTTATTCTACAACTCTTCAAAGCGTTATAGCCAGCATAATCAAATTCCTCTACGTCATGTAAACCCTTGTTTAAAAGGGAGGTACCGCATAATGATTAAGATAAGAGAAATGATATATTATAACAACTTTCATTTTAACAAATTCTGTTATGAAATACCAAAACGAATAAAAAAAACCTGACTAATTTCCTTACGATAAGTTAATTGTCCTCAGTTATCAAATACAGGTCTAACGGATATGGAGGGCGCGGAGGTAGACATATACACATAGGAACGTGTTATAGTGGTAAAAATATCTTTAATTTTAGAATCTGAAACTAGTCTCTCTTTTTAGGGTGTATGAAATAATCACCATGGAGTATATGGCACCCTTATCTTCATGTTCGTTCACATCTCTAAAATTATCTCACATGATACAGAGACAAAGAATATCTTGTGGACTGACGACAAATCTTTCCAAAAGTTTTAAATATAGAATGAGGGGATATTTCAATCAAAGTTTTAATTTTGGAAAATGATTTTAGCCAAAGCGAAGTACTACCAAAGGGTACTTTGTGAGTACCTTATGACATTTATAAAAAAAACATACATGTTACCGATTTGATGGAAAAGATTCGTGTGTTTCCCTCAGACCCTGCACAGAGGGGAATTTCTTTTCCTTTCAATTAGAGGCACGTGACGACTTACATGCACTGGTAAAAGAATATAATATATACTTAAGTATTGTTTTTAATTTTTGATCTACAGGTAAGAAAACATTTGATTTCAATACTATTCTCCTACAGACAAAGAAATCCCAAGTTTAAAATGAACATGTATTGTTATAATGTTATAAGATGTGGTTGGAAAGTGTAATGAAATAGAATGAATATGTTATGATTTAATATTATTGTTTAATTATCTATGAATGACAGCAAATCAACGTGAAAGTCACAAGTTCAGTAATTTTATGAATGTTCCTGATTCCAACATACGGTCGAAGAATAAACTCTTTTCCGATCTGCTAATAATGTACATGTTTAAACTATTGGACCTCTGTTCAAGGGGATTTTTCAAAATCGGAACTAGAAGAGAATATTAGCCTCGCCGACCTACCAATACCGTGATTGATTTTCACAAGTGATCTCCATAGATAGAGAATATTTCAAGTATCAGATTGTGAATAAAGTTTGCTATATATATTATTATGTATATCTATAGATTATATTTAACACAAGACGCTTACTTTATACAGTTTAGCTAACCACCATCAGATGGAGGGTTAATAAAATTACTTCCCGTTCGTGGTTCCTCGTTCTCGAATTCCATAAGAAAACTTAATTTGGTCCTGGTTTAGTTTTCTAGACTTGTCAAAGAACAAACTGACTGACAGATGGCCATATCGGATTTTGACAGTTGAAGTTTGTTTTCGCCATTTCTTGAAAAGTAATAGATGGATCTTTCTCTCAGTTCTTATGTAGTCTTCATTAGTTGTACATGGTCCATAGTGGGACTGATGTAATAAACGAAATAGCTAATAGATTGTTATCTTGGATTTTGACTATTTAATATTGATCAATTTTTCCTGAGAAGCACTCCATTGACCATTCTTCAATTTTCTGTTTAGGTTTTGTGTTGTTCTTAGATGTGTATTGTTCATCTAATCTAGATTTGATTGGAATGTTGATGTTACGGACAGACGAACACCTTGTGTTTTGATGATAGATTGTAATCACTCTCGTACTTCATTTGTAGTTGTTCAATAGTCTTTAGTTATGTCCATTATGGAAGAGATTAGAATAACAAAATGGCCGACAGGTGACGATCTGGGATTACGACAGTTGTCGTTGATTATCGATCTATATCATTGAATGATTTTCAAAGTTGACATGACAACTCCCGACGGTACCTAATTGATTTTTGGAGAAATCATACAGAAGATAATAGAGGGAAATACCCAAGTAACTTAACACTAATAAAGATCTTAAGATGTTGGACACGAAGAATCATCGGGAATTTCCACTTTTTCCTATTGACCTTTCCCCATATCTTAACTTATTTCCTGTGTACAAAGTGTTTGAAGTATGATAACAAACAGTTGGAATACTTGATTCTTTAAGTTTACTCATTAATACAACCAATAAGATATAATCCTAAGCTCTAAGGCCGTACCGAGAAATGAAGAATTTTGATTGGCTATGAACCGCATCACCCACTCATTGAAATCCTTGAAATCTCTCAAGCTGTGTGTGTCACGTCATGGTAGGCGTGCGATCGGAATACCGGACACGGTATAATGAAAGGCAACAGGGAAAATCATACGGCAACTGGAACACACAAGGCAATAACAGAAATTTGGACACATAACGCCAAAATGTAAGTACACATAGATAATTACATGAAATTAAATATGATTTCATGATATGTACCGTCACTGACTTTCATTTCAATAATATTTTGATGATTTTAATAACGTTGAATTGGACATGCAAACATATGATACTTCGAACAGATGATGCAATTTTATAAACCCAGATGTATTCATAGTCGTTTCCAAGTAAGGCGCCACTTCCTTAGATACAATGACATTATGAGCAGTGTCCTTTCCGAGGAATGTATCAGAATCATAATGAAAACTGTTACTTTGTTCATTACAGTTTAAAATTCAAATCCGACAGCTTTATAACCAGCGACGACAGCTTTAATAGAGAAGTCAGTTTTGGTTAAACATTGGACAGTTTTTGAAGTGTCGTATTATCATTGTCTCCCAGGAAAAACTCAATTAAAAAAATGTTTTCAACTTTGCGTTTGATGATATCTATTGCTATGGACGAATCATATTCAGAAACAGCATTTATCTCAAAACATCTCGAAGAGGACACATCATAAATGATATCTTATACAAATTGTGGTGAGGTCGATACAACTGCTTTATATACTCTGTATGACGTATACCGTCTAATAGAGCTATACTTAAGTGAAGTATACACGTGTTATATGTAATAAGATTCGTGTGAAATCGTACTCGTGACACGGAAACAGTTGGTGTAACGAAAACAACGTGAGAAATTTTTCTGTATCAGAAACAGGAAATTTTTAACACTAATCTTTCCATCGCCATATCACAACATAGAGTCACTACATCACCAAGACAATGACTCACGGTATACCGACAGTCATCACCAATGGGTATATAACGTATATTTCAACATACAGTCACTACATCAAGTCTTCCAGCAGATAAAATAGGCAGATGTTGATAATGTGAATTAGTTAATATCAAAATGATATCAATTTTGGTCGTTATGAGTTTCTGTACTCAGAGTGTAAACATTTGAATTACACAACCAAAATATGACTTGATTCCTATACATGTTTGATATTGATAATTCTGTTTGTATCTTTTTACTTCCAGTTGACATGAATCAAGACAACCTTCCGGTCAAAATTAAGAAGTCATTGTCGGAGATGCTAGACGAATTGGTCGCAATGGCTCGACCATTACCACAGGACTTTAGAATGGCGACTTACTGTCGGTACGTCAACCTGATAATGGAGGAGTTGGGACAAGAACGGTGTATATTGGTAGGAAGTACAAAAGAAGGAACGCGACTCCGCACAAAACAAAATGAAGGTGATTATGACATCTTGGTAATAGGGGATATCACAGTGCCGGTGGAGAATCTAAAGCATCGCGAGGATCTTCCATGTTTTGTACATATAAACGGGACATTCATGAAAGAAGTGGAAAGAAAAGACCTCATTGATGGAGAGTATCTTCCGGCAACACTACTGAAAAAGCTTTCTCCTTCACTCTTTGGTCACGTGAAAGGTTTGTTGGAGCTTTTCCTTAGACCCCAGTCATTTAAAGCAAATGGAATATCACGGGTTACGATGGACACAGATATCAAGCCTGGGTTTAATACGGTCGACTTTGAAGACTGGAGCTGTGATTTACTTTTACCAAAAACCAATCCAGGATATCGACATGACAAAGCATTGCGAAAGACATATGCTGAACGAGTAAACCACTCAGAGTTTTTCCATGACAAGTCCAATGGCGCTGTCCATGCTATGGAAATTATAGCAAAATTACTTCTGCTTTTCAAAACAAAGGAAAATTCAGACTCATATTTATATCAAACCTTCAGACCATATCTTAATGTTCTTGCCGCAGAAGAAGAAAACCATGTGAGTACCGCTGCTGAAACTATTGGTGACGTCAGGGAGAACTTACAAGAGGATCACAAAGGGACAGAGCCTCCAGAAATAAACTGCACCTCGTCACTTGTCAAACAAACCAGATCCAAGATCAAGTCTGTTCGAGCGACATACAATAAGAAATCCATGAAGGATTTTATTCCCGCTCTTCGTTTGTCTGGGCCGCCTAAATTCATCCACGAATGGATTCTGCGAACTCGATACTGGCCTAGGAAACCAATGGTGGATGCCATCTCAAGAAGCCAGTATTTCGTTGTAGCCAAACCAGCTGTAAAAGATGAGAAGCCCGAAATAGATTTCTGCCTCTCCTGCAATCTAGCTGAAATCACGCTGGCAAGGCAAATGCCTTCTGGACACAAAAAATGTTTGTTAATGATCAAGGCCTTTCAGAGAACCATACTAAAGGAATACTCAGATGACGTGACGACCTTTCACTGGAAAACAGCTATATATTGGATGCTAGAGTCAACTGACCCAGTCACCTACTCAGAGAATAGCAAGGACGTGCTAAATGTGTTGAGGGACCTCCTGGACTACATGAGGGATCGGTTACATGAGGGTAGACTTCAACATTACTTCTTTCCTAGCAACCTCTTTGCAGGTTTAGAGAGGAGTGTTCGCGTTGGTATCGTCGAGAAAATAGAGGCGATCTACATGAATCCAGTTCAGAATCTACAAACATTCTTTTACAAAGTTCATGAAGACCAAGTGAATGTAATTGACCTTCCTTTTGACAAAATTATGGAAATGAAAAAGAAAACAGGGCAAGAGAGGGATAGATTTCTCTTTGACAAAGCGCTCGACATATTTGAAGAAATCGGTAGAGCCCATTCTTTAGATAAGCAAGCATCAGCAACAGTCATTCCTGATATAGTATTTAAGGTTGCAAATATTTTACTAACAGACGAGCAGGCAAAAATCGGTCAAACGATCGATACAGTAGACGTGAGAGAACTCAAAAGTAAATTGATGGCTGGATTAGCGGATGTTCTACAAAACACAGAGATGGACAAAGCGACCAGATCACGTGCAGAAGAAAAACTGGTCAAAAACCTCAAAACGCTTTTGTCGTTAGACTATTAAATACCGAATTGTTCTAAACGGATCTGTGATAGACATATAACTTAGTAAAATGAGAGCTGTTGTGAATATAACATATGTAAATATCAAAATGTTGAATAGATAAATAGATATGTTTACATATCAGTTGAGGGAAAATATTGCAAACAGGAATCGATTTTACCTTTACGTTAAGTCTTCCTCATTCTAGATGCATTTGAACCCAGAAAATAAATAGCATGGCCCCATTCTGGAGTTTCAATAGAAAATGATATCTATCTCTCTGAATATATAAGTATCTTAGAAAGGATTAAGGGCCGTGTGATTTCTATATTGATGGATTAGACACTATACCTCTATCTGTAATATACACGTTTAACAAATAGGCCCACTCTCTAACATTTAAAAATGAATATACTATTTTCAACGGTACAATAAAGCATCTAGTTTTCCAATTTGTCCGAGCTTTGTGTTTCAACTCCAGTTGAGTATGACGCGTTTTGCACTGCCTGCTGCTGTGCATGTGTTGTAATTGAAAATGGCTCATGGGAAAGTTAGCGTTATTTTCTAGTCTCATTCAGGCATTTAATTCCATACTTAGTGGCAGTGAATGAAAATTCCTAAATCATACTTCTATTCTTTACAACAAATGAAAATGCTTTTGGTATGTTTTAGTCTAATACGGTTCATGTAACAAAGCCTCGGTGTTTACACGATATATACAGTGCGACACTGCTAGACTACCTTTCAACACACAAAACGTTACAAGTGACAATGGCGAATAGTTCACAACTTGTTATCAACCCTCTTGGAGTTCGACTCTGCTGGGCTTCCAAAGCACGTTATAAACATAGAACAGCCCTTTTCTTTCGTATCTAGTTGTAATACGTTATGTGTAAAAAGGATGTACACCTGACAATTATGATGTAGATGATATGAAATAGGCAACGCCTAAACACGAGCTCAATTTGACCTAGACGATGCACGTTTCAATACTATGTGGATTTAAATATGTGTCTTGGTGAAGATTGCCTCTAAATTCTATTTATCTGTGCGTACTGTCGTTACTTTTTCATTTATCTTATATCTTCTATTCCAGTAATACGCATTCACTGAACATTTGTCTGTTGGGATCCAGCACCAATACTGTCAATATTACTTACTAGACCCTGTCTCTCTCTCTCTCTCTCTCTCTCTCTCTCTCTCTCTCTCTCTCTCTCTCTCTCTCTCTCTCTCTCTCTTTAAATGAACATTAATGTATCATTCATTTCTAAAATGTTTCGTACATTTCAAAAATCAGAAGTTCCATACCAAATGTTGACCGTTTACCATCATTCATATAAGAGATAATACTTTTGATCTCTTCCGGAAGGTAACGAAGGTCCCCGAACCTTTAACGGGATATATTTTTCTAGATTAAATTCATTTTTATCATTTAAGGCTTTTATTATGTTTCTTTTTTCTATATGAAAGCTTTTTGTCGACCGAGATATATTTTATCCAATAAACTGACCGGAAGTTCTCATTACAGCTGGTGATAAATGTTACGGCGACAAGCTGTTAGAGACGATCATATATATAGTTTATTTCGGTTGCGTTTCAACTACTTTAGATTTCCACACACAAAACAGTAAAGCGCTCGGTAATAAGAGACAAGTGTACAACATGCAGTGATACCTGTAAAATACAAATCTTTTGTGGGAACAGCACGCATTCGAAGGGGTAGACTTCTTTTTTAGGACGATTACATTCTAGTGAATAAGTAATGATATTGAAGATTGTGTGCCATTCCGCAGTGATGAAAACGCCAATGTAATTTGAGAGGAGAGAAGTAGCTGTCTTGTATTACAATGATATTGTGTTGGTTTGCGTTGACAAAAACACAACTGGTTTCAGTTTAATGTAGGCACCGAAAAGTCAGATATTGTTATTATAAATATACACGCCTCTATCACATTCTTTTTCATCCATGAATTGCAGTTTCATTCACAATACGTAGTGATTATGTACCGAGTATATTTCTCTGTAGCGCCATGACCAATTATAATACACAATAACCGACAGATAGCATGGGATCGTTTGGAAGATTTTACAAATCATCACGTGAATATATTAATATTGTACAAACCAAACACAAGTTAATATAAAGACTGTTCAAAGCACACGCATGTGAATATAAAGATTGTACAAACAGCACACAAAAAAATATAAAGATTGTATAAACCAAACACATATGAATATGAAGATTGTACAAACCACACACATGTGAATATGAAGATTGTACAAACAACACACATGTGAATATGAAGATTGTACAAACTAAACACAAGTTAATATATAAATTGTACAAACCACACACATGTGAATATATTGATTGTACAAACCACACCCATGTGAATATAAAGATTGTATAAACCACACACATGTGAATATTTAGATTGTACAAACTAAACACAAGTTAATATATAGATTGTACAAACAACACACATGTGAATATATATATTGTACAAACCACACACAAAAGAATATAAAGCTTGTACAAACAACACACATGTGAATATAAAGATTGTACAAACCCCAACATGTGAATATATATGTAACAGGGTTATATAACCTGAATTAATTATGTTCTCCGTGTTTCATTGTGTTCAATTATTTCATATATATTTATGATATTTATGACTGTGAAATGTAATATTTATTTATAAATATTGGCACATTGTTAGTGAAATTGTATATATGTACGTATTCTTCGCGTGTATTTATATTAACGCGTATAGTTATGAGTTTGCCGTAATTTACCGCGTTATTACATTTAATACGGTACGGTATGTGTCTATGTACTCCTGTTGTTTTACCGTGCTATTTTTAGATCTCAACGGACATTACCGACTGGACATTGGGTTAACTGATTCTTTTGTCTTTTCTCCTTTTACCATTGGTTCTTTCCTTCGTTAATCTATCTTTTCTATTTCCTACTCACGAAATTCAAATCTACACACTTTCTTAGAGATCGTCGTCACATACAGACTTACACATTATAGCTTACCTGAATTTGATCAGAGAACCATATAGATTGTTGATTATTATAGCTTCATACTTCAAGTATCAAGATGTAGCTAGCCACCACATCAGACGTGATGGTTTGAGTTTCGAACTTTCTTAATAAATACTGACAGAATCCAGAAAGATTGTTGTTTAATCTGTGAAATCTGGGACTGTTACATATAGATTTTACAAACCACACACATGTGAATATAAAGATTGTAAAACAAACCACACACATGTGAATATGAAGATTGTACAAACCACACACATGTGAATACATAGATTGAAGAAACCACACACATGTGAATATAAAGATTGTACAAACCACACATATGTGAATACATAGATTGAAGAAACCACACACATGTGAATATAAAGATTGTACAAACCACACACATGTGAATACATAGATTGAAGAAACCACACACATGTGCATATAAAGATTGTACAAACCACACACATGTGAATATATAGATTGTACAAACAACACCTATGTGAATATATAGATTGTACAAACCACACACATGTGAATATAAAGATTGTACAAACAACACATACGTGAATATATAGATTGTACAAACCACACACATGTGAATATAAAGATTGTACAAACCACACACATGTGAATATATAGATTGTACAAACCACACACATGTGAATATAAAGATTATTCAAACCAGACACAAGTGAACAGCACATTTAAATACAAATTTAAAGTTATAGGTGTAGATACAGTAGAGCATAACAATGATCTAGACGGTATCATACAGGATGCATCTATGACGGGTACCATCGTCACTCGATATCATTCTCATTAAAATTGACGTCCGTCACGAAAAGGCTCATATCTGGTAAAAAGAGATAAAGAAAGGTTAAAGTCATACATCCGTATAGAAAATGTAAAATAACAATTGCATATAAAAGGGTTGTTTTCAGGTGTGGTGCTTATACAAGTATTTCCCACTTGTACGCCATGTTACTGTAGAAGACACAGGTAATGGGATGCATTCTTTATCTAACAGCTTCTAACTAATATTGAAAAAGTTGTTTTTTACTTTTCTAAATAACAGATTATTATGTGTCCAAACAATATTATAACTCTCAAAACTAATTTATATCAAATCTCATCACTTGTTGTTAAAATGCTTGTGTCTTAACGATCGTTTTTGAAGAAATGGTCTTCGAGATTGTCAATGTAAGCATATTCCTGAAAGTTAACATAATCATATAACTTGCCCAGACTCGTGAATTAAGTCTGGACATTGAACAGAGAGTGATTTTTATCAAAACTTAAAACAACGTTTAAATTATCAAGATATGATAAATACATTCAGGAATCTCTGTATAGCAATGCATAACATGTGTGCGTGTTTCTTACAAGTTTTGTTACAATTTATAAACAGTGTGTTAAATTTATAAACAAAGTGTAACCGGGTCAGTGTGTTAAATTGATAAACAAAGCGTAACCGAGTCAGTGTGTTAAATTTATAAACAAAGTGTAACCGGGCCAGTGTGTTAAATTTATAAACAAAGTGTAACCGGGCCAGTGTGTTACAATTTATAAACAAAGTGTAACCGGGTCAGTGTGTTACAATTTATAAACAAAGTGTAACCGGGTCAGTGTGTTACAATTTATAAACGGTGTGTTAAATTTATAAACAAAGTGTAACCTGGCCAGTGTGTTACAATTTATAACTAATACGTTATTTTAATTATTCAGTTTCCATGAAAAGTTTCCTAGTTACTTTGCACAATGGACTTATCAAACGCATGGGGGATGGGCAGATCATGTTGATAATATAATCAAAAAGGCTAGTAAAAAATAGGACTTATGAGAAAACTAAAATTTAAAGTGGATAGAAAGTCTTTGCAGACTATGTACTTTTCTTTCATAAGGCCAGTTCTAGAATATGCCAATATCGTCTGGGATAATATAACGACAACCCAGTCAAATGTAATAGAAAGTATTCAACTAGAAGCGGCTAGAATCGTAGCTGGGGGAACCAAGCTTACAAGTATAAATATAATTCATAAAGAAACTGGTTGGGTTAGTCTTTCCACCAGACGCAAACATAGTAAAATTATCCAGTTTCATAAAAT